TCATAGTCCAGCTGGCCTTGGTGAGCTCCCAATAGATCAGCCCCATTGTCTCAGTGGGTGGGTGCACCCCTCGTGGTCCTGACTTCCTTGCTCATCTTCTCCCTCCTTCTGCTCCTCATTGGACTTTGGGAGCTCAGTCCAGTGCTCCAGTGTGGGTCTCTGTCTCTATCTCCATCCATCACTAGATGAAGGTTCTATGGTGATATGCAAGATATTCGTCAGTAATTCTATAGGAAAAGGTCGTTTCAGGTTCCCTATCCTCAGCTGCCCAAGGAACTAACTGGGGACATCGCCTTGGGCTCCTGGGAGCCACTCTAGGTTGAAGTCTCTTGCCAACCCTAAGGTGGCTCCCTTAACTAAGAATTGTGCTTCCGTGCTCCCCTATCCAACCTTCCTTTATCCCAATCATCCTATTTCCCCAAGTTCCACCCCATCCTCCCCTTCTCACTTTTCTCTCCCCATCTCCCCTTACCCCCAACCCACCCCACCCCCAAGATCCCACTTTCTTCCCCGGCAATTTTGTCTACTTCCCATAGCCAAGAGGATAACTATATGTTTTTCTTTGGGTTCACCTTCTTATTTAGCTTCTTTAGGTTCACCAATTGTAGACACTGTGACCCTTATTTATGGCTAGAAACCAATTATGAGTGAGTACATCCCATGTTCATATTTTTTGGGTCTGGGTTACCTCACTCAGGATAGTGTTTTCTATTTCCATCCATTTGCATGCAAAATTCGAGAAGTCATTGTTTTTTACTGCAGCATAGTACTCTAATGTGTATATATTCCACACTTTCTTCATCCATTCTTCCATTGAAGGACATCTAGGTTGTTTCCAGGATCTGGCTATTACAAATAATACTGCTATGAACATAGTTGAACAAATGCTTTTGTCACATGATCGGGCATCACTTGGGTATATTCCCAAGAGTGGTATGGCTGGGTCCAGGGATAGGTTGATCCCGAATTTCCTGAGAAACCGAAACACTGATTTCCAAAGTGGTTGCACAAGATTGCATTCCCACCAGCAATGGATGAGGGTACCCCTTCCTCCACAGCCTCTCCAGCGAAGGCTATCATTGGTGTTATTGATTTTAGCCATTCTGACAGGTGTAAGATGATATCTCAAAGTTGTTTTGATTTGCATTTCCCTGATTGCTAAGGAGGTTGAGTATGACCTTAAGTGTCTTTTGGCCATTTGAACTTCTTCTGTTGAGAATTCTCTGTTCAGTTCAGTACCCCATTTTTTAATCGAGTTATTAGCATTTTAATGTCTAGTTTCTTGAGTTCTTTATATATTTTGGAGACCAGACTTTGTGTGTTGTGTGGTTGGTAAAGATCTTCTCTCAGTCAGTAGGTTGATTCTCTGAATTTCCTCTGTGTCTGTGGTTATGTCCCCCCTTTTCATTTCTGATCCTATTAATTTGCATATTCTCTCTCTGCCATTTGATTAGTTCGGATAGGGGTTTATCAATCTTGTAGATTTTCTCCAGGAACCAGCTTTTTGTTTCATTGATTCTTTGGATTGTTTTCTGTGTTTCTATTTTGTTGATTTCAGCCCTCAGTTTGATTATTTCCAGTCTGCTATTCCTCCTACGTGAGTCTGCCTCTTTTTTTTCTAGAGCTTTCAGGTGGGCTGTTAAATCTCCAATGTGTGCTTTTTCTGTTTTCTTTAAGTGGGCACTTAGCACTATGAACTTTCCTCTCAGGACTGCTTTCATAGAGTACCATAAGTTTGAATAGGTTGTTTCTTTATTTTCATTGAATTTGAGGAAGACTTTAATTTCTTTATTTCTTCCTTGATCCAGGTGTGGTTCAGTAGTTGACTGCTCAGTTTCCATGAGTTTGTAGGCTTTCTGGGGGTAGCATTGTTGTTGAATTCTAACTTTAATCCACGGTTGTCTGATAAAACAAAGGAAGTTACAAATATTTTTTTGTAGCTGTGGAAGTTTGCTTTGTTACCCAGTATGTGTTCAATTTTCGAGAAGTTTCCATGAGCTGCAGAGAAGAAGGTATATTCTTTCCTATTTGGGTGGAATGTTCTATAGATGTCTGTTAAGTCCATTTGATTCATTACCTCCATTAATTCTCTTATTTCTCTGTTAGGTTTCTGTCTGATTGACCTGTCCATTGGTGAGAGAGGAGTGTTGAAGTCTCCTACTATTAGTGTGTGCCGTTTGATGGCAGCCTTGAGTTTTAGTAATGTTTCTTTTACATACGTGGGCGCTTTTATATTAGGGGCATAGATATTCAGGATTGAGACTTCATCCTGATGAATTGTTGCTGTTATGAGTATAAAATGTCCCTTTCCATCTCTTCTGATTGATTTGAGTTTGAAGTCAATTTTGTTAGAAATTAGAATGGCCACACCTGCTTGTTTCTTGGGTCCATTTGCTTGATAAACCTTTTCCCATCCCTTTACTCTGAGAAGGTGCCTGTATTTGTGGTTGAGGTGTTTTCCTTGTAAACTGCAGAGTGTTGGATCCTGTTTTCGTATCCAATCTTTTATCCTGTGCCTTTTTATAGGTGAGTTGAGCCCATTGACATTAAGTGATATTAATGACCAGTAGTTGTTAATTCCGGTCACTTTTTTAGTAGTAGAGTTTATGTGTTTCCTTTCTTTGAGTTGTGCTGGTGAAGGGTCTCTAGATGTTTGAGTTATTGTGGTTATTGTTGGACTCCGTGGTTTGTGATTTTCTTTCTATTACTTTCTGTAAGGCTGGATTTGTGGCTATGTATTGTTTAAATTTGTTTTTATCCTGGAAAATTTTGTTTTCTCCATTTATAGTTAACAAAAGCTTGGCTGGGTATAGTAGTCTGGGCTTGCATCCATGTTCTCTTAGTTTCTGCAGTACATCTATCCAGGACCTTCTGGCTTTCATTGTTTCCATAGAGAAATCAGGTATAAGTCTGATAGGTTTACCTTTATAAGTAACTTGGCCTTTTTCATTTGCAACTCTTAATATTCTTTCTTTATTCTGTATGTTTTGTGTTTTGATTATTATATGGCGAAGAGATTTTTTTTTTTTTGGTCCAGTCTATTCGGTGTTTTGTATGCTTCTTGTACCTTCAAAAGAATATCCTTCTTTAGGTTGGGAAAGTTTTCTTCTATAATTTTATTAAATATATTTTCTGGACCGTTGAGCTGTACTTCTTCTCCTTCTTCTATTCCAATTATTCTTAGGTTTGGTCTTTTTATTGTGTCGCAGATTTCCTGAATGTTTTGTGATGAGAATTTGTTGGCTTTGCTGTTTTCTTTGATCAGTGTGTTTATTTTCTCTATGGTTTCTTCAGTGTCTGACATTCTTTCTTCTATCTCTTGTAATCTGTTGTTAGTACTTGTCTCTGTAGTTTCTGTTCATTTACCCAGATTTTCCATCTCCATCCTTCCCTCGGTTTGTGTTTTCTTCATTACTTCCATTTCATTCTTCATGTCTTGAACCACTTACCTTACCTGTTTGATTGCTTTTTCTTGTTTCTCTTGGTTTTCTTGGGTATCTTTGAGCGCTTTATTCATTTCCTCTACCTTTTTGTTTGTGATCTCTAATTGTTTATGGCAGTTTTTCACCTCCTGTTTAAGGTCTTCTATTATTTTCATATAATTCACTTTTGAGTCGATTTCTTCTAATTCTTCTGGAGTAGGGTGTACTATTCTTCTTATTTCGGGATCTCTGGATTCTGGTGATGTCATGTTGCCTTTCAGGTTGTTGGAGGAATTCTTGCATTGGTGCCTTCCCATCTCTTCCTTCAAATGGAGCCAGGAGAGGCCTGGTGTCTTGGTCCAGTCTTTGGTGTGACTGACTCTCTGGTTGTAACTCTTCAGTGTAGAAGCAGGAATCGTCCAGTCCAGATGGAACTTCTCAGCACAGAAACACAGACACCTGGTAGTCCAATGACCCACGGACAAAAGGGAGAACTTGGGGGGCAGGGCGCGGACGAGTAGAACACAGGACACCCTGCCACAAAAGCTGAAGGTGTGCGTGCTCCCTTTGGGGGGAATCCTTGAGGCCTGCCCGGTAGGCAGGTGCTCACCTCTCTGGGTTGGTAGCTTTAGTGTAGGAGCAGAAAACTCTTCCTGAGCAAAGGACCTAGCAGATAACGCAGGCTTGTGTGTGTATGTGGCGGGGGGGGGGGTGTTCGGGTGTAAGAAAGACAGACCTGCAGAAGGAGCTGGGGGAGGGGGGGTTGTGGTCTCTTCAGGGTCAATCTGCCCCTGGATCGCACACACTCACCCGTCCAGATGGAATTCCTCAGTACCTAAACAGGGCTGCCTGGTAGCCCCATGATCTGGGGACAAAAGTAAAAAACCTGGCAGGCAGGGCGAGATCTGCTCTGGGTGGGTCGCCCGTCCAAATGGAACTCCTCAGTACCTAAACAGGGCCACCTGGTAGCCCGATGATCCAGGGACAAAAGGAAGAAACCGGGCAGGGGGGACAATATCCAGGAGTGCAGAGGCACCCCTGGCGCACAAGCTGAAGGGCTCCCTTTCCGGTGTCCTTGAGGCCTGCCTGGTAGGCAGGCACTCACCGCTCTGGGTGGGTCGCCTTAGTGTAGGAGCAGAAAACTGTTCCTCTACAATTTCTATTTATACGTTGACCTTAAATCATGCCATCTTTTTAAATTCATTTATAAATTCTAATAGATTTTGTAGTATGTATGAGTGATAGATCTTAGAATTTTCTTTGTATAAAGTTGTCTATGAATAAAGACAATTTTTCATTTTTCTTGCAAAAATCTATTCTTTGTAGTATTTCTTGTTTCTTTTATCTGTATAATATAGACCCATAAACTGTATAGGTCAACATACTTATCTTGTTCCTAATGTTAGGGAGGAAAGCATTCTTGTATTTTCTTAAATTGAGGATGTTACTGTCTAGCCATTACTTTTTTTATAGCAAACGAGTGCCAACTTCTTGAAAAGTATTATTTATTTATTTATTTATTTATTTTTTTTTAGCAAAACCACGAATTTTATTGTTTTATTTTGTTGGGGTTTTTTTTTCTTCAGATATTTATGTTGTTATTTCAAAATCACACATCCATAAGAATTTCCCAAAGAATATTGAAGGAGATAAGGAACATTAAATGCTTCAAAAGTCTAGAATGTTTTTACTTATATTCTAACACACAGTTTAAAATTTCAACATATTGAGTGAACTGAAAAGGCATGTACAAAAGCAGTATAAGTGATTTCACAAAACAAAGAAGGTAGTGAAGGCTTATAATCGCAGTCAGTCCTCAACAAGCCCAATGCCAGTTGTGATACACGAGTCCCTATTTCTAAATATAAAAGGAAGATGGACTGTGGCTTTGATTTGCAAATAATATTCTTTATTTAAATAGTCCTGTGTTTGCTTTATCCGTGGATGACAAAAATCCATACTCTGTGAAAACAGACCATCATTTTACTGATGGAAGGCTTCCAATCTTATTTGTGTTGGATCTTCTGGATGTCTCAAAGCAATTCCATTACGCAGAAGCAGCTCAATATATGGTGGCCAAAATGAATCACTAATTTTAACATATGGATCATGTGGAGCATCAAACATTCTATTTATAAGCATCTCTATTATTTCATGCAGTGTTATCAGTTGTGCATTTGATGTTTGCATGCATTTCTTTTTCTTTTTACTAGTCCCATCAGGCAGAGGAAAATGATCTTCTAAAAACTCACCCAAGGTAAACAGAAGTTTCTCCTTAAAATCTTTTATACTAAGCATCTTAGCTTTCAGCTCTTTAAGGATGCTTGATACAGAAAATGTCACATCGCGGTTTTTCAAATCACTGTGCAATACATTAAGAGATTCCAGAATCTGTTGTTGTTCATCCAACCACTGTTGCTCCCTTTCTAAGTCTTCCTTTAACTTTTCATTCTTTGATTGAATAGTAGATACTACCATTTCAAGATTACATCTCAATTCTTGGAACTCTTCTTTTCCTAATGTTATCAAAACATCTTCAGTCAGGGGAGTTATTTCGGGTGTTCTTTTGTTCCAGTGATCAAGTTCACCAGTCAGACATTTGATTTGCATAGAAAGTAATGAGAGCTGAGCATTTGAGCTAGTGAGTGTCTCAGTTCCAATGAGTGACAATTTATTCTGGCAATCTTCCATGTCTTCCCACATTTTTTCACACTGTTTAAAAAGTTCTTCCTCAGTATCTATAACAACTTCCATATCTGTAGTAATATCTAGATGTAGTTCTGGTTGATTCTCTGACATATCCTTTACAGTTTTCTTCACCCAGCCAGAACCAATCTCAACTCCACTCAGCACTCAGGCCGCCACACCGCTCCCGTCACCGGCCAGGCTGCGGGGGCGAAAAGTATTATTTAAAGAAAGCTGTATGTCTCTCTGTTTGTATGGCACATGTGTATGAGAACTCTTGGAGGCCAGAAGAAGGCATCAGGTCCCCTAGATCTGCAGTCACAGGTGATAGTGAGCCACCTGAGCTGGAAACCAAACTGTGATCCAATAAAATAACAGCAAGCACTGTGAACTGCTGAGCTATATCTTTTGCTCCTATAGTGCTGACTTTTGTCAATTGCTTATAATTATATTGCGATAATAATGATTTTTCTTATTAATGTTTTAGTGTAGTCATACATAATGACCAATTTTTAATTACTAGAGGCAATGGTTCCCATCTCCCAGATCTATCATCAATACCCAATAGTTTATTATCTTGTTACTATTGCACAGATGGGCACATTTTGCCCAGCAGGTAGGTTTTTGGGTCATAGGGCTCACAGGTATGTAAGATCATTGATGCCATTTTTCCCAAGCAGCCTGCACAGCAATTTCCAGCACTTTGAAAGCCAGACACCAGGGATGGAGTTTAGATCTCAGTTAGAGCTTGCTTTATTTACGTCTTGCAACAGAGGTATGGGATGTCATCAACAATAGGGTATACTTTTCCAGTTGTGGTAAATAACCAAGAAGACTTACAAGAGCCTTTGTAGTTTTGGGGAGATTCTAGGTGTTAACCCTGACCACCTCCTCTGGGGGAATTCAAAACCCAAGCTTTCAAGTAACTCCCTTGAATTCTTTTGTATTTTTGTTTGTTCTCCAAGTTCTAGGAGACACCTCCATTGATTCATTTTACTTTATTTTAAAACAGCTTGTTAAACTGGAAACATGAATTATTGTTTTAAAAATAATTTTACATTGTTTTAATTTTTAAATCTGTGAATTTTTTTCTAAATATCTGAGTATTACAAATTTGATAGTGTTCCATTATCATTTGATGTATAGTGTCATTTAGGTAACTTTTAAAAATTAGAAAACAAAGTAACATGTCTGCTTAAGGCACTTGCTTTGGTTGATCCTCTCCTGGTTTGGTTGATCTAACTCCTTATTTGTTACTTTTCTATTGCTCTGATAAAACAAGGTAACTAAAAGCAACTTATAGAGGAATTAATTTATTTGGATTTATGTTCCATAAGGATAAAGTCCATCATGATAGGAGATATAACACCAGCAGCAAGCATGGCAGCAGGTCTAGGAAGCTGGGAGCTCATATCTCAACCACAAACATGAAGCAGAAACTTTTGGAGGAGTCCGCTTGTTTGTCCTGGCTGCCCAGAACCAAAATAACCACAAAGAAACTGTATTAATTAAAGCACTGCTTGGCCCATTAGCTCTAGCTTCTTATTGGCTAACTCTTTTTCTTTTTCTTTTCTTTTTTTTTTGGTTTTTTGAGACAGGGTTTCTCTGTGACTTTGGAGCCTGTCCTGGAACCACCTCTGTAGACCAGGCTGGTCTCAAACTCACAGAGATCCGCCTGCCTCTGCCTCCCGAGTGCTGGGATTAAAGGCGTGCACCACCATCACCCGGTTTATTGGCTAACTCTTACATCTTAATTTAACTCATTTCTATTAATCTGTATATTGCCACATGGCAGTGACTTACGGGCAAAGATTTGGCATGTCTGACTCTGGTGGCTCTATGGTGTCTCTCTTTGCCTCTTTTTTCCAGCATTTGGTTTATTTTGCCCCACCTAGCTTTGTTGTTTAGGCCCAAAGCAGTTCCTTTATTAACCAATGAAAGCAACAATAGACAGAAAGACCTCCTACACCAAAAGACTAAAAATGGCTTGAAGCTCTCAAAGCCATTCCCCAGTGGTGTAGTTCCTCCAGCAAGGCTGTACCACTTAAATCCTAAACAGTGTTGCCAACTGGAGACCAAATATTAAAATGTCTAAAACTCTGGGGGACATTTCTCATTCAAACAACCACACCCCTCTTGCCCATCTTTTTGAACCTACTCTCCCACTTGTTCAGCTTTGCCCCCAGCATTTCTATTTTTATTTTTGGAAAGGAATTTTATGGAATTTTCTAGTGCCATTTTCAAATGTTCTATTGTACTTTCCACTACCTCACTAAATGACTCTCCCCTTCCCCCACCAGATCCTTTCTAATTTACTGAGCTCTACCACACTCATTCCTAAAATACACATACACACAAACACACAAATATAATTAGGATCTAGGCTGCATATATGAGATAGAACATGTGCTATTATCTTTTTTTAAGATACAAATAAAAGGATATGTGCTACTATCTTTTGTGAAATTTGGTTATCTCCTCAAATATAATATTTTCCAATTCCCTGTTCTTGAACATTTTATAACTTCACATTTTATGGCTGAAATTTACGTGTGTGTGTGTGTGTGTGTGTGTGTGTGTGTGTGTACCTAAATGCCCATCAACAGATGAATGCAAGATATATACAGCATTTTAAAACTCCCTTTGAAATTTCCTTTTTGATTATTTAGCAGCATGTTAATTTTCAAATATTTTCCAATTTACTAAATATTTTATTACAGGTTTTAAGTTTATGAATTGTTGTTCCGGGGATATTTATGTATGAGTTTAATATACACAAGATAGGCAAAATCCCAGCAAGGGTAGGGTAGGTGGACACAAAGTACTACCACTGACTGTGGGGTTATGGGGAATGGACAGCTGCTGGAAGTGGGAGAGACACAGTTTTTTAAAGATATGGCCCTAATAGGTTAACCATACCCCAGTGTAAAGCCACACATCAAAGAGTAAATAGGCAGCACAAATCAGATTTTATAAGCTTTTTTTTTCTAAAAATAATAAGGAAGACACAAAGTAGAAAAGTGGAAGTGGGTTTGGGTGGAGTTGGGAAAGGAATAAATATAGTTGAAACACATTGCACAAAATTATCAAAAAACTAATAGAATTGCAAAAGGAATAAAAAAATTACTATCTAATGAGTTGTCTTCTGATGGAACTGCACTCATATCTGTGTTTTCTTAATATCCATGTGCTTCCTTTTCGTTGATGAGTTTATTCAAATTTTTCTTTACATTGAATAATTTCTATTAATGTGTTGTCATAATGACTTTTGTTACATTTTATGTTTGATATTATAATTGGAATATTTCTCCCTTCCCTTTTCTTTCTCCATACCTTCCCATATAGCCCTCCTTGTTCTCTTTCAAATTCATGGCCTCATTTTTCCCTAATTGTGTGTGTATATATGCATATATATTTCTAAATATAACATGCTTAGTCTTTCAGTCTTGTTTCATGTTACTTATATGTATGTTTTGAAGACTGAGTGCTTGATATTGGATGTCTGATTGCTGTGTCCTTCCCTAGAGAAAATTATTTCTTCTGCTCTCAGTATTCCATGATTGCCTTCTTTGTTTTCTTTGTGTAGTTCTTTGTGTAGGGTTGAGGCCTGGGCTTTTCCTCATCCATATTAGCATGTCTACTGCTGTTCTTGTTCAGTTCATGTTTGGGTATTCATGTTGATGAGATTTCATGGGTGTAGCTTCTAATGTTCTTAGGAGACACAATCTTACAGCAAACTGCCTGATCCTCTGGTTCTTATAATCTTTCCTCTTTTTCTTCTAAAATTATCTTTGAGTTTTATGTACATGAGTTGTGTTGTAGATGTATTCATTGTAACTGGGCTCTAACTCTATTTTAAACGGTTGTGGTTTTCTGTAATGGTTCCTGTCTGTTATAAAGAGAAGTTTTCTAGATGAAGGATGCTTTAGTTACTTTTCTATTTATGTGAAGAGACATGACTAAGATAACTTACAAAAGAAAATATTTAACTGGGGAGCTTGTTTACAGTTTGAGAGGGTGAGTCCATGGTTGCCAGAGGTTTTTGTCCTACCCAGCTCCGCAGCCATTCAGTCCTAAAGAAACATACAGAGGTCTACATTAATTATAAACTAGTTGGCCTATTAGCTCAAGCTTCTTATTAACTCTTACATTAGTTAATCTTCTTATATTAGCCCATAATTCTTGTCTGTGTTAGCCATGTGGCTTGGTACCTTTTATCAACGAGGTGGTCACATCTTGTTGCTTCTTCTGTGTCTGAATGATGACTGCAGACTGAGTCTTTCCTCTTTTCAGAGTTCTCCTGTTCTCATTGCTATGCCTCTACTTCCTGCCTGGTTGCCCAACCTATACTTACTGCCTGGCTCCTGGTCAATCAATGTTTTATTAAAACAATACAAATGACAGGGTATAAGATCATCATCCCATAGCAAGTCCATGGCTATCATGGTGTGGAGTTTGACAATACGCACACAGACATAGCACTGGAGCAGTAACTGAGAGCTTACAAATCAATCTGTAAGAGAGAGCGAGAGAGCGAGGGAGCGAGAGAGAGAGAAGGAGAGAGAGAGAGAGAGAGAGAGAGAGAGAAACTGGGTTTTGAAATACCAAGGCTCACCCCCAGTGATACACCTCTTCCAACTAGGCAAGACTTCCTAATCCTTCTTTATCAGTCTACCTACTGGTAACAAAACATTCAAAAACATTCAAATATATGAGTTTATGAGAGCAATTTTCATTCAAACTTCTACAAGGTGTGTGAATTATTCTTATCTGTGTGTATAAGGACAAATGCTTGATTTAGGGGTTTTGGTTAGATAGTCTGTGGCCCATTGAGGGAACATTGTCAGCCTAAATGGAATGCTTTCATTTAGACTCTATATGGATATTTATATACTGACTTAGGTGTACTATACTTTTTTGAAGGTAGATTATTAATAGTATCATTCCTTATAGCTTTTTCAGACTGTCTTATTGTTATTTTACCCTCCTATCTCCTTCATTTTCATTTGTCTCCTTCTCCCATTTCCCCATCATATCACTTGTACTGTGATATTCCTCTCCTTATTGCTCCTCCATCTCCCTAGTTCTGCAATGGCTCTTTTTACTTTCCTGATTCCTGCAGTTACTCCAAGCTGTAAAGTCATATCTGAAGATTTGGAGCTACCACTTAGGTTTTTTTTTTAAATCTGGTTCTT